CAGACACAAATATTAGTTGTAATCCCAAGTAATTCCAAGATTTCTCTTTTCTTAGCAGTTTCGTCTTTTCCAGCTATAATTTTAATAAATATGAGCATTATTTGATAACGTATAAAAAAAGTAGTTGAGATACAGCGAGCACTGCAATTGAATTTGTAGCGAACCTTTCTGTTGCTTTTCTTCATTATGGACTACGAATATCATAAATTTCAATTGGGGGTAGTTTTTTTGTCCTCATCTTCTTTGCTGTCGTCCTCGTTTGAAAATGCCTTCTCAAAATCGAAATGATCGAAGTCGTCGAATGCACCCGCCTTGTCCACTAACCCTTTCTGTAACGTTTTTTAGTCATATTAGGTTAACTTCCCCTATTTCACTCTAAAAAGTATGAAGATGGATGTAATTGTTCATCCAACTTTCTAACGCATCTCAACGACTCGTTTTTTACTTTCTGCTTAGGAATACTGAATTGTAATTCGGGAGCAATTACTCCTACAATTGTAAGAATGTACTTTACAGTCTAAAGGGAAGGTAATTTGTTTAAAAAATTGTTTTGAAACTTGTTTAGTTAGTTAAGCGACTACAAGAAAGAAAAGTACACTCTACTTTTTTGGTAGGTGAACGAAACTCTGAAGATAGAAGTGCCAACTGTTAACAAGCAGGTGTTTTTGTGCAGCTTTTATTGCAAAACTTTTTTTTTTGATAATTTTTGTACTGTTACTAGTATGAAAATGACAGAGCACTGAAGTTTATTAAGTGAATAGGTCGTGAATTTGAAACTTATAGTCTTGATAGTATTTTCCACGTTTGAGGTTGGAGAACTCACTACCCAAAAACACATCAGACGTCGACCATTGAAGCTTACGACAACCGAAACATGGGTTTTTTAAGATGCAATTGATATACCTAATCAAAAAAAAAAACACTGTTTTTATTGTTTAAATAGGATGACAAACCTTGGCAAGGACAGATGGTCCTTTCTCGACTTCTCTTTCTCCAATAGAAACAAGGGAATGCGCATATGGTAAAATTCTTGGTCGATCGAATTCACGCACAAATACTGGATCTTCCACTCTGCAATCGTGTAGCAAACTACAGTGTCTTTTCAAAAGTGATAACTCTGAAATTTGAAATCCCACTGGTCTTGAAAACAAACATCAGACACCGGAAACAGCCTAATTCTTACTTCGCTTCTTGATAGTAGACTGAACTATTTCATTCTTTTTTATTCACATTTCATAGTCGCTCAAACCGTTTGTAATTTCCCTACATATGTGTCCATTAACTTCAGAAGATCAATTTTTGATTCTGAAACGATACATAAATTTCTTTGCAGCAAAGCCTCTGCAAAGTGACATGGCGCTATGAACAGTGAACTTTTAATGTTAATCCCCATCAAACCAGGGTTCTTTCCAGGACAGTTAAGGCTCAGTATTCAAGAGACGCGGGTCTTTAAAAGACGTTAAAACTTTTGTGCTTGTAGTTGCTTGCTGTTCTGAAGATATCGCACAGCTTGAAAAGTAACAAAAGTTGTAATGTTTGGCATCGGTCAAAGTTCTTTAAAATTCTGCTGTTTAGTAATTTTGCTTTACAAAAAATTAAAATTTTATTAAGTTTATCATGTCCTGTACTTTTAAATGCGAACTAATTAAATGCATACTAATGGGTCAAAAAACCAAAGAGAAAACTTGGGAAAATGAGTTCTTCGCTACGTTAAACCCTGTCAAATTTACGAGATTTGCTAGGTTGCCACTTGAAATACCGAATTTTTGCCGTCGTAAAATCTAATAATTTTTTTTTCAATTCATTAGGTTTACCATGTCCTGCACTTTTAAATGCATACTAATTAGTCAAAATCTGCTAAAATGTTTTAAGACACAATAAAAAAAGATTTAAAGTAAATATAAAAGTGTTTTTGAATTTAAAAAAAAAAAACATTTTGTATGTAATTTTTTTTGCTTTACCAAAAATGAAGATTTGGTGATGTTGCTTTTCTGATACCGAAGTTTACAACTCGGAAAAGAATGTGAAACTGAAAAAACCCACTGTTATTATATTAATCCTATGCGTTTTACAGTAGCGGAATGGCGGAAACTGTCTTGAGCGCCTAAGAAAATCCGTCGCGTTTCAGTCGATGAAAATGTTGACAAATTTTCATTTTGCAGAGTTCGTAAGTATCCCACATTCCAGTGTTTTCTGCATCTTACATGTTATAGTTTGCTAAAAGAATTGATAAGGCACATTTAGTCCACAAAAAGCAGAGGTATCGGTGATATTCGACATGACAAACACTTGGTAAGATAGCTGGTTTTGTGGGCACAGGATACGTGGAATACAGGAGCTTTTATTCCAATGTTTAAGAGGTCAGTGCAAAGAAAGTGGTATTTGAGCCCTTGGAACTGTATTCATAGTGCGCTAGTTGTAGTTTTAGCTGCACAAGCAAACATAAGCTTGGAATATTCTCTCTTCCAAATTACATGCTGGAGTCCTCCAGGTCAGCTAAACTGAGAAGCTTCAGGAAAAACCTTAATACAACAGTTAATCGGCTAAGCAGCAGGTTTTCTGACTGCTTCGTGACGTCAAAATTATACCGGATGCACAATTTTGGCAGGGAGAAGAAAAAGAAGTGGAAGATGCTGGATAAAAGCAACTTCTCATAACTCTGTAGGATAATAATTGTTAAAATTTTAAAGTGAAATACAACTTTTGCAACAAATCTTCAACGGCCAAAACGTATCGAATTTTCGTAGCCTCTCTTTGCAGCTTTCAGAAGCCGATCACAAAAGTTTCGCCACTGTAAAATGCATGGGAACTATCGTAAAAACAGTAGGTTCTTTCCAGTTTAACAATCCTTTCCGAATTGTAAATCTTGGTAGTGAAAGAACGCCATCACCAAACTTTGACGTGTTGTGAAGCAAAAAATTATACACAAAATGTCTCTTTTAAAAAATTTAAGGGCACTTTTTCATATTTGTTTAAAATCTTCTTTCCACTATAACTGAAAAATTTCTCGGCAGAGTTAAACTATTTAATAGCATGTCATGACAAATCTAACAAACTAAAAATCACTAGATAGTACTAACAAAAAGGACAAATTATAAACTTGCAAACATAGGTGTGTCAAACGGAAGCCTGAAAAGTTCTGCGAATTTGACGAGGTGCAACTTAAAGAAGAATTAATTATTTTAGATTCTCTTCGGCTTTTTGTATACTGGCCTAGAATTTACCAATCAGCAAAAGTTTAAAGAATCTTGAGATATTAAGTAAAAAAATGCGGCAACTGGTGTAAAATGACCCGTACAATTTATACTTTCACACAATTTTGTGCACACCTGATTTGTTATACGATGAATCTTGGTAATCTGGAAGGACGCGAGATGTACCTCCACGGAAGATCACACTTTTTTTTTTGTGAAAGATATTATATGAAGAACAAATCTCGAGGCATACTTGACAATAGAAAGAATTAAAATCTTTTACGTTATTACGGCCAGTAACTTAACGGGGAAAAGTCTTACTCAAAGAAGACTTTCTTGCTTCTTTAATCCTAGGCCAAGAGCTACTGATCACTAAAATTTTTATGAATCTAAAAGAAAAGGTAAGAAAAGCTCACCTTGACTTCAAAAGATTAAGCAAAAAATACTGGACTTATTAAAAAGGCCCGCTTTCAAGTATTTCTAATTTCAGCCTTCAACTAATGAATTCAGGAGCCTTAGTACTTGCTAAACTATTCTGGTAGCAGATAAGCCATGCTCTCACACTTAGCTAAGAAAACGAAGAAGAATTTGTTCAGTCAGTAAATCTGCAATTGGATTTTTAGTCTACTTCCGCTGATGACATAAGACGAAGATAAGCGAGCATTTTACTTGTCAAAGAAGTGACCATCAGAAGAAGCACTTTGCCGTGTTTAGCGAGCAAATAAATTTCTGTCAGTAAAGAAGTTCTTGTCTTGTAACTTTGGAAATTTTCTTATCAAAAAATGATGGTCCTGTTCAAATGCTACAGACTTTTTGGAGCGTAAAAAACCTAAAATTTTGGAAAATGAAAAGTAGTAGTCTGTTGGAGGGAGAGCAGGTGCAAATGCTTGGTTTGAACAAATGTCTAAGTTCAAATAGCTCTTCTTCTCCCTAACGTAGAACAAGCCGTACATCCAACCGAATATCGACGTGCAACAGAAAGACTAACTTCTCCTAACTTCCCGTGAACAAACTACACAAAGCTATTTTTAGTTCTCAGTAGCAGAAATATTGAAAGTTTTCAGGAGTCTGCTTGGTAGAACGCCCAATTAACAGTCAAAACCGTCTTCAAATTTCTAAAACCAAAAAAAAAGAGACGCCTAATAACGGGATTAGTCTGCCAATTACGAGCTGCGTGCCTGTCGGAGATGTCTGCTTTGACAGCTGAAGTATCCAATTAGTTCAGTTATGCTTCATAAAAAGAAAGTGGTTCAAAATTACGACTTCCGCTTCAAAAACATTACCTTGTAGTACCATCGCAGCTAAAAAAAGCGTCCTCCTGGTTAAAAGGGGACAAATGTATTATCAAACAACAATTAACAAATTTTTTGCTGAGTATCTCATACACAGATAAGTAATGTAGCCACTAGCAATAGTATCGGAACAAAGCAAGACTTACTTTAATTCAGCCGATGCAACACCATCCACTTTAGACCTGCTTTGAATGGAAATGGCTGTGGCTAGAAACAGCGATAATATCAGCACAGTCGACAACATAACTCCGCGAAATTACAGCTATTTTTTATTAATTAGCCAAAGAATAAAGCAGATTTTGAATTATTTGCAACCTTACCATTACATCAGCTTATTGCCCAGTTTGTAAGTAGAAGGGAAGCAACAGTGAGCAACAGAGGAACTTTGTAAAAAAAACTAAAGTTCGTTCAATTTATATCAGTTGAGAAAAAAAAAAAAGGAAAAGTTTCAAGAGGTAATCGAATAAGCGTGATAAATACTAAAAAAGTGAAAAAAAAAAAA